CTCAAATCACTACCACCAGCATAATTTGAAACCTTAGGGCAGGGGTGTCAAACTCGCAACGTCATGTGACATGTCGTGATGTATCGTGACTTTTTTGCCATTGCCGGCAATGGGGTTTTGCTATGATGCATCCAGCCCGCGGGCCGGCAGTTTGACACCCCTGCCTTAGAGCTTTCAAAGCTTGACAGAAGTTCTTTGAATTTGCATTAATCAACCAAGAAATCTTCTGGTGGTCTGTTTTTGGTATACTATGGAGCAAACTTAAACATTGTCATAGCTAACCTAAATCATGCACACACAGCACACACACACACCCATTCCTCTTCCTAGGTTGCTTTTATCCACAGATGAGAGAGAATTTTGCAAATGAGTATTCCTTTGGTCCTTTAATGCTGCAAAACTTTGGTTTAACCGGCAAAACATATCATAAATATTAATCAAGACTTCAGTAATCTGAACCATAGCCAAATGTAATATAAACTGTGTGGAGAAGAGCAGCTGAATTCCTATGTGTAGCAATCCACTTGTAAAGAAGGTGGGGGGGAAGCATTGCCTGCAGCTAGAATGTGGTTGGTTGATTTGTAGCTCAAAGTATTGTATAAACACAGAAACTTTCAAAGTCCTCAGTCATGGACAAGGCACTAATTCAATCTTCATCTCTAATTTTGGCCTTAGGGTGATTAGAAATTAGCTATAGGAAAATCTGAAATATCATAATTCCATAATATCTACACGTATTATTCTTTTCAAGTATCTCACCTAAAATCCAGACAGTAACATGTCTTCCTGTTCAAAGTATGTACTTGCTTCAAGTCAATCCATACACTTATTTCATGAGTAATTTGTAATAAAAATAGTCATGATGTGTTAGCACCAGTCACAATATGGAACCTTACATTGCCTTCAGCAGGCGTCCCCAATCCCTGAGCTGCGGCCCACTACTGGGACTTAAGCTCTTCAGAACTGATTTACGGAAGGGGCAGGCAAGCATGTGCGCATGCCCATCCCCACTTGCAAGAGCAGCGTTGCCTGCCATTCACATGGAATCATGGAATCTCCTCCCCACAGCTGGTCCTCAAAGCCAGAAAGGTTGGGGAACTCTGGCCTACAGAGTTAAAAATATGGGAATGATTTGGAGGAACACGTGATACATCCCAACATTTGCTGTCTAATTTTTTAAAAAATACAAATATTGCCATGACTTTGTACCAAAAACAAACTTCAGAATTAAATCACAAAACTGGACTGGTAAATATATTTTTCAGTTTTGTTATCACTCTCAGGTTTTTGTCTACATTATACATATATTGTAAATGTTTATGATGTACACTTACCATTTTAAAATAACCACAGACATACACAAAAGAGTGATGGTAGAAAAGAGCAAATGAAACTCCTTGTTTTAAAGTCAGGATGTGAAGACTTCCCTATTCCTTGATTTATTGTAGAATTGCAGAAAGTTCTCACTAGAGGAAGGTATCTAACCCTAAAACTTAAATAAATATTATAAGTATAAAGAACCCTTAGAACAATACATCTATTTTCAGAAACTTTAGAATGGTTAAATAAGAACGTAACAAAACCCCTAAAAGTTTGTGCTGTAGCCATCTGAAATTTCTTAGATCCTGAGACAGCTTAAAGTAAGCAAATATAAAATGTTAATCAGCATATAAATAATACAAGCAAATATGACAAATAGGTGATAAATAGAATTCTAACTATGCTGGAATAATTTGAACACACTTCTGATGTGTTACTAGGAACAGATTTTCAGGGCAGACATGTGTTGAAAACATATTGTCTTAAAATAGCAGTCTTGACCAATGTTGTCTTCAATTAAGAGGGAAATTCGAGTACTAATGTTTCCTAATTGTATTTATACAAGGATAAAATGTGTTAGATACACAGATTACAAATGAATAATCCAGGCCTCAATTAATTGTCAGATTTTCTTTGATTAGTGACCACCTGGCCTATTCCCAGGATTCTTCATAACCCAAA